GAAAAAATCGGAACCATCGCTTCCAGTACTCAAACGATCATCAGAGTCCTTCTGCTATCTTTTCCGGTCCTTTCGGTTGAGGACCCTCTGGATCAGCCTCCAGACCGAACCCGATCACGGTTACTAAAATTGAGAGTGTTAGCAAGATGCCCTGATGCGTGGATGACCTTGGCGGTAGTGTGGGGCTGATGCTTGATGCAACTGGTATATTATCTGTAAAGGTTGACTCCTATGCAATCTCCTCCAAGATACGGTCACGCACCATACTAGTCATACGAAGTGGTAAGTGAGTAGAAAATGGAGAAATCTCGAAGATAGTAAGAAAAGTAAACTCGTATAAATAGAATGTTAGGTAGATCGGTGGATCGTAGTTTAGGTCCCAGAAACTGTTTTAATACTACAACGTTTTCGCAACAAGGTCAGGCGCTATAAATGAACACAGAAATTTGATTTAATTTATTACTTACTTATAGTTTATTGGGTTTCTAGAGGCTAACTAGATTTAATGCCTACAAAACGTTTAAAACGTATTAGAAAAAATGTGAAACACAATAATTCCAGACGTAACAACTAATTAGTAGTAAATAAACTGCTACACTATGACAATGGAAAAAACGGGAAAAATGGACATGCAGTGGTATAAATGATAATGGTATGACTCATAGAATACGAACGTTTTCTTCTGCAATAGCCAGAATGTTGATTTACAAGGAAGAAGAATTGACCAGGGGTGTGGCCAAGCTCGACCGTTCAAGCCCTCGTAGATCGTAAATTGCTGGTGTTCTCGAGACTGACCGTTGTTTCTGGGCCCGAGGTTGGTGTGCACAAAGTGTACACTCAAAACGCATAGCACATTTAAACAAAAACATATATCAGATACACACCTAAAAAGGGAAAGTACAAAGACCTACACAGCTCGCCCACCAGAGCGTTGATGATTCCATACAAACGCTCTACAAGAGGTGTAAAAAATGTTAAACAACAAATTCCTTAAGATTGATAGGAAAACGGATGTGTCTAACAGAACGAGTGGAGGGGGTGGTGATACAGTAGGGTGGGAGGGAGGGGTGGGATGGCTATGAGAGGGTGGCAGTGGCGGGAGACTGGCAGTGGCCGAAGTAGCGGGGGAGGGGAGGTGCCACTGGAGCGGAAGAGCCAGCGGGTGGCGGTGTGCATTCAACGTAGAGCGGCTTTAGTCTGTCGATGGAACCCAAGTCAATGGTGTGAGCCTTTTGAGTGAAGAAATACTTGTCCATCCGCTGCAGCACTTTGTAGGAACCGTCGTATGGTGGAAAAAGTGACTTGAGAACTGCGTCATGCCGAACGAAA